AATACGTATATCTCTTTTATTTATAACTCTTTCTTAAGTAACGAACGAGATATATTATCTTAATCGCTACTCTTAGCTATTTAATTAGATTTATTATTTTAACTATTAATCTAATTACTCTAGTCTATTTTATATATCTTAATACTTTTAGATTCTATCGACTATTTATAATAGCGTTCTTTAATCTACGTAGTTTCTAGCCTCTAGTATCTTTCTAGCTAATACTTTACTCTAATCTATTTATAATTTTTATCTCTTAGACTTTAAATAGAGAATTACTTTCTTTTATATTCTTTATCTTAGAAATAGTAATATTTAGCTTCTTCGCTATAAAGCTAAAAGCTTTTATCTTAATATTATTTTTTAAAGTGCTAATCTTAACTTTAGAAACATCGTCTAAATATTAAACTCTTTTTTAAATTCTATAGCGTATAGTTTTCGATATTATTTATATTCTAATCTCTTAATAACTATAGTTTAATATTCTTCTTCGATATAGAAATCGATTTTATTAAAGGTCTAAGAGATAGATATATTAAACTATTTTTTAAACTAAAGGGACTCTCTATAGTAAGAGTCTTATTTATATTTATAGCTTTTATATCTTAATCTAACTATATTTTAATTAAAGAATAAGCGTTTAGCGTTTATATTATATTCTTTTCTTTATTATTAAAAGTACTAGAATTAATTTAGCGTTTTATCTTTATAATATAAACTTCTTCTTAAACTATATAAAGATATTAGCTCTTACTTAATTCGCCTTTTTTATCTAAAATTTTAAAAAGGCGATTTATTAAGCTAATAGACGTTTAAATAAGACTTATTTCTCTATCTTAGCGAGAAGAGAGTTTAGATAGATTATTAAGATAGGCTTTAGCTAATAGATAACTATTATTTTTTAATAAGTTTAAGTCTCTCGAAGTCTAGCTTCGATAGTTATTAATTAACTTAGCTTATTATAATATATAACGAATAAAAATACGATAATAGTATTTATATTAATATTATTCGCTATATCTTCTAAAGATAAGAATAATAGTTTAGCTTATAATATAAGTTTAAGTAGCTTAAGAGATAGTTTAATCGCGTTAGCTATTTATATAATTATATTATAAGATTTTAAAAGACGTAAACTTCTTCGTCTATAGCTATCGAGTTCTATTAAATATAAAAAAGTAGTTTATAGCTTCGCTATATCTATAAGCCTAGATTTACTATTTAAAAAAGAGAGTTTTATCTAACTATAACTACGATTATTCTTTATTTTAAGTATTTTAACTAATAAGATTTTTTATATATTCTTTATAGCTATCGAAAATATATCTATATTAAATTAAGATAATAGTATCGCTTATAGAGAATATTTAATAAGATTTAAAGAGAAATATACTCTTTTATAATCTACGTAAAAGGTATTTACGATAAGACTTATAAAATCGACTTTACTAACTTAAAATAATTAGGCGATTAAAAGATATAGCTATAATAGCTTACGAAGATAGTTTATAATTATTTAGTCTAGAGTAGAAAACGAATAGAAAGAAATTACTTAGCGTTTTATTCTTTAAAAATTTAATAGAATTAAGTTAGAGTTAATATTCTTATATTAATCGATTATAATAAAAGTTAAATAATAGACTATTTACGAGCTTTAATTATACTATATATATTCGACTTTAATAAGAAGACTATTTATTTAGATTTTTATTATCTAATATTATAATATTACGTTATTAAATTATAATAAATAATATAAATTTTAATACTTATAAAGCTAGTATAGTTACTATCTAATTAATATATTATAATCTTTATAATATTATCTTAATTCTTTTTAATATCTTAGCTATTACTTATCGATATTATAAGATATTTTAAAAAATTAATAACTATTATTAGAATATTCGCCCTCTATAATTTAGCTTAAACGAGAATATTTTTATCTTTATTTACTTATATTCAGTAAACGCGAAATAAGTACTTTATTACTTTAAAAGCTATTTTAATAGCGCTTTCTTTTATCGTTTACTTTATAATAAATTTCGTAAAAAAAAGATTTAATATAATCTCTAAATAATATTTTAAGTTTCTATTTTTATATAAATATAATCTAGTCGACGATAGTCTATATAGATTTTATTAGAATTATATTAGTATATATAATAGAATAAGATAGAGCTAAACTAGAAAATCTTGAATTTATATATATAGCCAATTATAAATTCGAGGTTATTACGCCTTTTAACTAGACTAACTAAATTAGCCCGCTAGCCCTCTCGAGCTCTCTTATTAAAAATTTATATATAGAAGTTTTACACTCTGAAATAATCAGCTTTCTACGAATACTATTTCTTTATAATTTCGTAAATTATAGAGCTTAGTATACGCTTTCTAACGCTATAAAAATAATGAAGTTTAGCTTACTATTAATAGATTAAATAAATATTCAAATATAATAGTTATAATAGTCACAGGAATTAAATAATAATCCTTCCACTTATTTATGTAATTATTCTTCTTTCACTATTCTATTAATTCTATTAATTTTATTAATATAAATATAATCGTCTTTAATACCCCTCGCTTAAAGGTTATTTAATATTTCAAGTATATATACCTCTATTACCCGCCTCTTAAAGTCTCTACTAACGCTCTTAGATTATCTCTTAATAAATTCGCTACTACTAATAATTAAGATCGTAAGCGAGTTTAATAGCTATCTACTACTACTTATAAACGCATTAAAAAATTCTTAAAAAAGAGCCCGAATAAATATATTCTCCTCTATATACTTCTTTTAAGCCAGCGATAGATAGATTAAACTAATATTTAAATATTGTAATCACACTAAACGCGTTCGGTTTAGATACGTATTCCTTTCGCTCGTCTTTTAAACTCTCTATTAATACTCTTAGGCCACCTCTTAGTAAATTCGCTATTATTAATAATCGAGGCCGTAAGCGAGCTTAATAGCTATCTACTACTACTTATAAATATATTAAAAAACTCTTAAAAAGAGCTCAAATAAATATATTCTCCTCTATATACTTCTTTTAAGTTAGCGGTAGATGGATTAAATTAATATTTAAATATTATAGTTATATTAAACGCGTTCGAGATCGAATAATAATTCTTTCATCTATTTATATAATTATTCTTCTTTCATTATTCTATTAATTCTATTAATTTTATTAATGTAAATATATTTACTCTCGATACCCTCGTAGTTAGTTAAATAAGAGAAGAATCTATAATAGACGAATACGGAGAATACTATGGAGAATATTATTAAGATAGTTATTAGCAGTAGTAATATAATAGATCTACTCTCTACGATCTTATATTAATTTACTTAGCTAGTATAAGAGAAGTTAATATAGTAGATAAATATAAAGAATACTACGAAGAATATTATTAAGATAGTTATTAGCAGTAGTAATATAATAGATCTACTCTTTATAATTTTATATTAATCCACTTAGCTAGTATAAGAGAAGTTACTATAATAAATAAATATAAAGAATACTACGAAGAAATTAAGCGATAATAAGACTTCTAATATTAAGAATAGACTTAGCTCTCTAAGATCCCACGTTATATACTCTTTATAATTTTATATTAAATTATTATTTAGTAAGCGAAGAATATTACTATAAGTTAGTCTATTATCCTTACTATATTAAAAGATTCGACGTTATATACTCTTTATAATTCTATATTAAATTATTACTTAGTAAGCGGAGAATATTACTATAACTTAATCGTTCTATATTAAATTATTACTTAATAAGCGAAGAATATTACTATAACTTAATCTATTATCCCTACTATATTAAGAAGTAAGAGAAGAAACTATAATAAATAAATGCGGAGAATACTATAGAGAATACTATAGAGAATACTACGGAGAAACTAAGCGATAATAAAACCCTCGATATTAAGAATACGACTTAGCTCTTTAAGATCTTATATTATATTAGTTATTTACTTAGTTAACTACTTAGTTAATTACTTAATCTAATACTCTATAAGAGAAGAAGTAAGAAAAGAAACTATAATAGATAAATGCGGAGAATACTATAGAGAAATTAAGTAATAATAAAGCTCTTAATATTAAGAATACGACTTAGCTCTCTAAGATTCCACATTATATACTCTTTACGATTTTATATCAAACAAGTAAAGGCCCATGAATTAAATTCATGGAGTTGGATTTTTCTAAGTCAAATCGAATTTTAGCCCTAGCCCTAAGTCAAATCGAACTCTGATCGCTTGCTGTGCGTTTTTAACCTACTTCTATCACTACAAAATTCTATGTAGTATACACTATACAGGTACATATATGCGGAGAGAGGCGCGCTAAGGCCTAATTAGGAAGGTATAATAATTGCCTACAAAAAACAGAGAAAGGCTATGTCCTTATGGCAAGAAGTATCGAAATACCGGAAAGAAATGGAGACAACGTGCCAATTAGTGGTGTGAATCCCACAATATCTCCTACCGCAGTGAAATTTTTCGAATAATGAAATAGCTGTAGACATCGGACGGTTTCAATTCGTCCAAATATGCATCGTTCCGGAGTGATGATTTGATGTGGAACCGTGGAGAGCATATGAGGTGGGATCTTGGAGAGCTGAGCCGTGTTCTTGACGATGGTGGCCTTGTTGCCGCTTGGTTTCTCCGCAGTGTTCTCCATAGTGTTCTCCGCAGTGTTCTCCGCATTTGCCTGTTGTAGTTCCTCCTCTTACTCCTTAATGTAGTGGGGATAACAGACTAAGTTGCAGTGGTGTTCTCCGCTTGCTGAGTAATGATTTGATGTGGAACCGTGGAGAGCATATGACGTGGGATCTTGGAGAGCTGAGCCGTGTTCTTGGTGCTGAGGGCCTTATTGCCGCTTGGTTTCTCCGTAGTGTTCTCCATAGTGTTCTCCGCAGTGTTCTCCGCATTTGCCTGTTGTAGTTCCTCCTCTTACTTCTTAATGTAGTGGGGATGACAGGCTAAGTTGCAGTGGTGTTCTCCGCTTGCTGAGTGATGATTTGATGTGGAACCGTGGAGAGCATATGACGTGGGATCTTGGAGAGCTGAGCCGTGTTCTTGACGATGGTGGCCTTGTTGCCGCTTGGTTTCTCCGCAGTGTTCTCCGCATTTGCCTGTTGTAGTTCCTCCTCTTGCTCCTTCTCTTGTAGAGTATCAGACTGAGTGGCTAGCTGAGTGGCTGACTGAGTGGATGACTGATATAACGTGGGATCTTGGAGAGCTGAGCCGTGTTCTTGACGATGGTGGCCTTGTTGCCGCTTGATTTCTCCGCAGTGTTCTCCGCATTTGCCTGTTGTAGTTCCTCCTCTTGCTCCTCCTCTTGTAGAGTATCAGACTGAGTGGCTAGCTGAGTGGCTGACTGAGTGGATAACTGATATGACGTGGGATCTTGGAGAGCTGAGCCGTGTTCTTGACGATGGTGGCCTTGTTGTCGCTTGGTTTCTCCGCAGTATTCTCCATAGTGTTCTCCGCAGTGTTCTCCGCATTTGCCTGTTGTAGTTCCTCCTCTTACTTCTTAATGTAGTGGGGATGACAGGCTAAGTTGCAGTGGTGTTCTCCGCTTGCTGAGTGATGATTTGATGTGGAACCGTGGAGAGCATATGACGTGGGATCTTGGAGAGCTGAGCCGTGTTCTTGGTGCTGGGGGCCTTGTTGCCGCTTGGTTTCTCCGTAGTGTTCTCCGCATTCGCCTGTTGTAGATCCTCCTCTTATTTAACTGAGTGCGAGGGTACCGAGGGTAAATATATTCATATTGGTGGAATTGGTAGAATTGGTAGAATGGTGGAAGAAGAATGGTTACACAAATAGGTGGAAGGATTATTATCCGATCCCGGACGCGTTTGGTGTAACTACAATATTTAAATATCAGTTTAACCCACCTACCGCTGGCTTAGAAGGAGTATATAGGGGAGGACGTATCCGTTCGGGCTCTTTTTGAGGGCTTTCCAACGCGTTTATGAGCAGTAGTAGGTAGCTGTTGGGCTCGCTTGCGGCCTCGATTGCCAGCAGTAGCGGATTCGCCGAGGGGTGGCCTGGGGGCGTCAGTAAGGGCTCTAAGAGGCGGGCAACAGGGGTGTACGTGCCTTATAGACCTGGCAATATGAGAGCGAGGGGTAGAGAGGGTGAATGTATTCATATTGGTGGAATTGGTAGAATTGGTAGAGTGGTAGAGGAATAATGGTTACACAAACAGGTGGAAGGATTATTATCCGATCCCGTCCCGGACGCATTTGGTGTGACTACGATATTTGAATGTCAGTTTAACCCACCAATAGTAGGCAAAACTTCATAATTTTTACAGCGTTAGAAAGCGCAAACTGAGCTCTATAAGTTACGAAATTATGAAGAAATAGCATCCGTAGAGAGCTGGTTATTTCAGAGTGTAAGAATTCTGCACATAGATTTTTGATGGTTGCGGACGCTAATTTATTTACCCGCGGTGTCTAACCAAAAAGCGTAGACCTGACGAATTTATGATTGGCTGCACATACAAATTCAAGGTTTTCTAGTTCAGCCCTACCTTATTCTTTTATATATACTGATTATTACTTAGTAAGCGAAGAAAATCACTATAATTTAATTTATTATCTCTACTATATTAAGAAGTAAAAGAAGAAACTATAATAGATAAATATAAAGAACACTGCGAAGAATACTATAGAGAATATTACGGAGAAATTAAGTAGTAATAAGACTATTATCGTTAAGATAGCTCTTTAAGATCTTATATTATATACTCTCTACGATTTTATATTAAATTATTACTCCGAAACGATATATATTTAAATGAATTAAAATCGCCCAATATCTATAGCCATTTTATTATTCGAAAAATTTCACTACGATAGAAGATATTATGAAATTTATATTACTAATTAATACGTTATCTCTATTTCTTTTCGATATTTTAATACTTCTTACTATAAGAATATAGCCTTTCTCTATTTTTTATAAATAATTATTACATCTTTCTAATTAGGCCTTAGCGCGCCTCTCTTCATATATATATATCTATATATTATATAGATTAAATTAATTTTATAGTAGTAAAAGTAGGTTAAAAACGCATAGCAAGCGATTAGAGTTCGATTTGACTTAGGGCTAGAGCTAAAATTCGATTTAACTTAGAAAATTCCAACTTTATAAATTTAATTCATAGGCCTTTACTTGTAACTAACTAATAAAATATCGCGATTTTTTATAAAATTAATTTAACGCTAAAGAATAAACGCGTATAATAAGAAGATAGATAGAAGATTAGTATTCTAACGAAGATTTATTATTAAGATACTCTAAGTTAATAGTTCTATAATATTTATTATAATATTTAATATATAGAAAATACGATTTAGCGTATTTTCTAATAATAATAATAGTTTTATAATCTCGTCTTTAATTAAGCGAAAATTCTCAACTAATTTTATTATCGTATAGTTTAAAAGTTTAATTAAAGATTAGCGTAGAGTAGAAGTAATTAAGATTAAAAGAGATATCGAGATATTAAAAAAAGAGAAGAAAGTAAAAGAAAATATAATAATCGCGAAAGTAAAGAAGAAAAGGTTTTAAGAAGAAGTTAAGAAGAAGAAGAAGTAATATAAAGTAAAAAGGGAGGGTTAATATAAGATAAATAAATTAAACTTTAAATAAGATTAAGAGAAAGTTAATCGCATTAATAAGTAATAAATAAGATAAAGTATAGATAAAATAAACGTATATAACTCGACTATATATACTATTATTTTTTATCTAAAAGTTAGATTTTATTCTTATATATTAAAATAAAGAGTAGAGAAAAGTTCTCTAATTATATAAACTTTAAACTCAATTTATTTATATTATACGTTAGTCTACTCGACTTTCTATTTCTTTTAAAATTATTAAAATAAATTTCTATTAAACTTTCTACGTTATATCTCTTTTAAATTATTATTAAAAATAGAGAATTAATATTCTAATCTTCTTATAATTTATTTATCTACGTAAGTATTATAATTTTTTTTCTAGCGATATTCTTCTTCATAATTCGATATATCTTTATAATCTCTTTTAATCGAAAAATTCTTAATAGATCTTAAGTATCTCTAATTAATTCTTTTAAATTTTAATATTACGTAAATACTAGATATAAATACTTAAAAAAATACTTAGAAAGATATATTTAGAATTTATTATGAGAATAATAACTTTATATTTAAAGTCGTTATAGAGATAATAGTCTTAAGCTAATCTATTTAATAGATTTAGCGAGAGTAATAGTTTAAAGCTAATTTAATTAATAGACTTAGCGAGAGTAATAGTTTAAAGCTAATCTAATTAATAGACTTAGCGAGAATAATAAAGTATCTTTATTACCTCGATAGAAAATTCTATCTCGATTTAATTCTATTTCATTAAAACTCTATCTTAGAGCGAAGTAGTATTAACTTTTTAGATACTTAATACTATTAAGTATCTAAAAACTTATCTTACTTCGTCTTATTACGTAACGTATAATTAATAATTTTTAAATAAAAATTCTAATTTACTTCTTAAGAAAGAAATTATAACTAGCTCTATTAATTATTTCTCTATATATTTTAAAATTAATAGTATAAAGTCTATAACTAGCTCTATCGATTATTTCTCTATTAATTTTAAGATTAATAATATAAAGTATATAACTAGCTCTATTAGCTAGTTTTTTATCTATTTTAAAATTAATAATATAGAGTATATAACTAGCTCTATTAGCTATTTCTACTAGTCGAAAAAATATAATATATCTTATAAAATATTTTATATTAAGTAATATTATATTATATTCGAGTATAATATAAATAGAGTTAAATATTATATCTTTTTTTTAATATAAATATAGAATCTTAATAATATATATTACGATATAATATATCTATAATATTATATTATAGAACGAGTAAAGATCTATAAATTAAATTTATAGTTATTTTTTTTAATTAGAACTATCGAGTAAGTAGATAAGCGATCTTTAATAAAGCGAACTTTAATAAGCGATATTTGAATTTCTTACGCTTTAATAATTATAAGACTAAAGTTTATAATTCTTAAAAATTCGAAAAGTATAAATAGCGCTTTAAAATTTAAAAAAAAATCTCAAATTTTAATAGAAAACAAAAAAGTTATTCTATATATTAATAATATATATCTATTTTTTTAATAAGAAAGGTAGGTAAGAGCGGAGATTTTAATAGTTACGAACGTTAATTTATTTATTCGCGATATTTAATTAAAAAGCGTAGATCTAACGAATTAATAATTAACTATATATATAAATTTAAGATTTTCTAATTTAGCTCTATTTTATTCTTTTTTATATACTAATAATATATATATAAAATATTTCGATTAAGATTTCTATATTAAGAAGTATAAGTATATAATATAAATAGAGTCGAATATTATATTATTTTTCTAATATAAATTCGAGATCTTAGCGATATATTCTTACGATATAATATATCTATAAGATTATATTATAAAATAATATATATATAAAATATTTCTATTAAGATTTCTATATTTATAGAATAATTCGACTAAGATATATAGAATATATTTATTCTTCTTTATTAAGAGAGAGGGAATATAAAGAGTAATTTAATATAGCTATTTATCTTTTTATTAATATTAATAATTAGAATAATAATTAGAACTATAAGCGTCTCTATTCTTCTTCTTAAAATTATAATATAAAAAAATTATTCTAAATTTTAAATCTTTAAATATTATAAGAATAAAATTCTATAATTATCTTTATTTATATATTTATCTTAACGCGTTAAATAAGCTTAATAAACTTTATATTTATTCTTCTCTTAAACTCTAATTTACTCTTCTATTCTACTCTATCTTAATTCTTTTAAATATCTTAAATCTATCTCTATCTAATTAAACTTATTAACTATTTATAAATAAATTCGCTTTTTAAATTATTTTAAATCTCTTTTTTAAGATTAAATCTATTATTATTAACTCTCTCTAACTATAAATCTATTAATTATCTCTTTATATATTATAGAGTATTAATAATATATCTTAATAAATTTATAAATATTAAACTTATCGAAGTACTTTTTATAAGCTTATTATCTTCGCTAATATAATTATTATAAATATTAATTAAGTTTTTATATAAAGTACTATTAGCTCTTTTAATCTAATTCGATATATTAAGATCTTCTTTAAAATTAAATTTAATCTTATTTAAACTTATTTTCTTAATATTTTATATAAAGAATTATTATTAAAATATAAAATATCGCTAATAAATAATACTTTTAAGTATTATAATATCTTTTAATTATTAAAAAATATCGCTTATATATAATAGCCTTCGCGAGAAAATAAAGAATATTATAAGTTATTTAAGTAATTATAATATATTTAAACTTTAATTTCTTTTATTATTTTAAAATTAAAAGATTCGCTAAATTATTAAAAGA